TGTGGCGGCCATGGGTGCCGGTATCAGTTACTCATTGCTGCATAACAACTTACCCCCAAACTTAGTGTCCTAAAATGGCAACCATAGTTATGACGAGGTTTCTGTATGGCAGGAACTCGGGAGAGGCTTAGCTGGAGGATTCTGGCCTGTTCCCTTATAAGGTCGAGGTCAGGATGTCAGCTGTGGCCATGGTCCTCCGAAGCTGGACAGTGGAGGTGTTTCACTGCTGTTCAGACAGGAGGCCTTGGGTCCCGGCCCTGGGTGTCCCCATGGAATGACTTGAGCACCTCCACACATGGAGTGTGTGCTCTCGGGAAGAAGTAGCTGTCACGTCCATGACACCTAGAGTTGACACATCCTGTAGATGTGGGAGACGAGTGCATGCAGGTGTGAATACCAAGAGGTGAGGGCCTCCAGGGGCATCTCGAAGACTGGAAAGCACTGTGCTGTCCAACCCTCTCCACCCTGTGACTGAGCCCTCTGACTTGCTTTGGTGACTGAAATGTGCATGTGAGCAATGCGAAGGCCATGTTTAATGGAAATTTTCAGAGCCATCACATCTTTCCCCATGGTCCACTCTCCACTGCCACAGTGTAAGCTCATAGCAGCCCCGTGGCGTGAGGACACAAACCTTAGTTGTGTTGAGGCCACTGAGGTCTCAGGGGTATTTGTTCATTTGGTGGGACACGGCTCACCCTGACTGGTACATAAGTGGCCCACGATCCATCCAACACTGGTCCCTGAAGTCTCTCCTCCAGGAACCTGGTTGACCCATCAGGGGGGCAAACATTTAGGTGCTTGTTGGTTCCCCGGGTGTTCCTGGCCCCAGCTCAGACTTGCACGCAAGTCCTAGCCATTGCCTCTCACTTTCCTCATCTGGAGAACGAGGGTTGTAATCTGAGCCTCAGGAGTCTTGTGAGGACAGAAGGGTAGATCTTATGCCAGTGTTCAAGATTGTGCCAGCACGTGGGAGGGGCCCCATATGTGCTTGTCATTTGCTATAACCTGGGCTGCAATGCAGCCGGGCTGTCCAGAAGCTGTTTATCTTTAGACTCCTGGTCTCGAAGGCACGCAAAGGGGTAATTACAGCGCAGTGAGATCAGAGCTATGACGAGGATTGGGCAAGAAGCCCAGAGGAAGGCAACAACCAACTCTAGGCCGAGGCTTCCTAGCTGCCCCTCTGGGGGGCTCCCCAGGTGGTTTCCAATCATGAGGGGCAACCATGCCATCTGGGGGGCGGGCAAGAAGGCAGCTGGCTCTGGACTTGTCGGCCTGGGTTCCATCTTGGCTCCACCATGGAACTCTGGGCATGTTTCTCTGCCTGTAAATTGGAATTGGGCACTTACTGAGGGCTCCATTCCTGTCAGCAATTTGTGAAATATGTGAGCATTTGTTAAAAAAAGAAAAGAATATAGCCCTAACCGGTTTGGTTCAGTGGATAGAGTGTTGGCCTGCGGACTGAAGGGTCCCAGGTTCGATTCCGGTCAAGGGCATGTACCTTGGTTGCGGGCACATCCCCAGTAGCGGGTGTGCAGGAGGCAGCTGATCGATGTTTCTGTCTCATCGATGTTTCTAACTCTATCCTCTCCCTTACTCTCTGTAAAAATCAATAAAATGTATATTAAAAAAAAAAGAATATATTTATGGGATGTCTCATAAAGTTAGACTTTTCACTTTAGACCAGGGGTTCTTAATAGGGGTAATCCTGCCCCAAGGGCACACTGGATAATATCTAGGGACATTTGTAGTTTGTTGTTACACTGAGGGTGCTCCAGTCCTCGAGGGGTGGGGGCCAGGAATGATGCCCAGCACTCCACAGTACCCAGGATAGCCCTCAGAGGTGACGTGAGCTCAGGAGCCTTGGCCTGAATCTGTCGGTGCCTTTTGCATGTCTTCCCAGGTCACTGGGAACTGTGGGGGATGGCATCCTTGCAGTTACTATTAGCAACATAATGGCTTAGGAGTCCTTGGAGCCACACTGCCTGGGTCTGACTCTGGCTTTGTCCCCTCATGGCCATGCAGCCCACAAGTCCAGATGAAACCCAGGGTCCTGAGGCCAGCAGGGGGGCGATGGGATGCCATCACCAGTCCTGCAGGCCAGCAATGCTGACCTCTCGAGACACCTGCACAGGGGGTTTTGTTGACTTCTCCCTAAATCTTTTGTGATGACATGCTCAAGAACAGCCTCATGATAGCCTGGTCAAGCTTGCAGCATCAGGTAAAGTTGCCCAACCTGGGAGCACCTGTCTCCCACACCTGGGACTTCCTGGTCACGATTCTACTCCTGATCCACCAGGCGTGGTAAAGGGCCCCCTGCTCAGTGCTCTCCCTCTGTGCCCTTGCTGCTCCCAATTGCCTACAACAGCAGCCCCAATTCCCCTGCACTGTAGTGACTTGTGTCCCCAAAAAATGTACATCCATCTGGAATCTCTGAGTGTGACCTTATTTGGAAATAGGGTATTTAATACGTAATTAGTTCAGGATCTGGAGATAGGGTGAGGTGGCTCTAAATCCAATGCCAAATGTTCTTAGAAGACAGAGGAGACGGCAGCCATGTGATGAGGAGACACGGCTGAAGTGAGGCTTCCACAGCCCAGGGACACCCAAGAGCTAGGAGAGGCAAGAAAGTCCCTCTCCCAGAACCTCTGGAGGGAGCTCAGCCCTGCAACACCTTGATTTCAGACTTCTGGCCTCCAGAACTGTGGGAGAATATATTTTTGTTGTTTTAAGCCACCAAGTTTGTGGTAATTTGTTGCAGCAGCCAGAGGGAACTAATACACTTTCCTGTTGACCCTACATCCAACAGATGCTTCTCAGCCTTCATTTACTGGACCATCGGGCACAGGGCTACTGCCAGCCCACACGGTGTCTTTGTGTGAATTAGGAAAAAACTCTACAAAAAGCCTTCCTATAAATATCCTTGCTGTGATGTCTATGGGGAGAATGGCTTGTGCATTGCTTGACCTGAACAACTGTACACGGTGGCCCTGCCACTGACCACTTTTCCTCCTGGGAAGATGTCCTGGGATGCCACTCTCTTCTGGTTCCCACCTTCACCGCTGGTCTGCCTTCACATATTTTTTTGTGGGTTCTCTGAGGCTGGGGCTCCTCAAAGTTGGAGCCTGGGCTCTTCTCAGCTCTTCTGAGGCCTTCGAAATTCTTCCCAGTTGACAACTTCCTGTCCCAGTTGCACATCTCAGTTGCAGACCTACTTGTCCACTTTCCTGCTACAAGGTTCTCCCAGCTCCCTGACTCTGGCAACTTCCCCCAAACCAGTAGCCTTCCATCTCAGTAGATACCTGGGACTGCCCTACACACTCCCCTTCCACCCTGGCCCCAGCAAATCCACCAGCTCGGCCTTCAGAGCATGTCCAGAGCCCATGTATGTCCCACCTGCTCCTCTTCCAAGGTCACTATCTCAGGGGTGGCCCCAGCATCCAGATACCCAGCTGCTCTCTTGTCTGGCTGTCATCTTGGATACCCTGCATTCCCTTTCCTCCTGTGGGAGAATATATTTCTGTTGTTTTAAGCCACCAAGTTTGTGTTAATTTGTGGTGATGTGGCTGCTCTGCTCAGATGCCTGCTCTCCACACGACTCCCACAGCTGAGCTCCCTCCCCAGCATCTCTGTACTTTCCTTCTTGTGGTCTGCACCTGTGACTCTTTTTGGAGGCCTGCCCAGAAGCAGCTGGGAATAGCTTGGGAATCAAGCTGAAATGCTCCCTTGGTTGGCTTCCTCCTTCCTGGGGTCTCCTGGGAGCACCCTCTTATAAAATCACCCCCATATGAGTGCTTGCCGTAGGCTCTGCTGCTGGAGACGCCCCTAGCCAAGACCCAGTCCACCCACATCCAGTCAGTGACTTTGTCCAGTTGATGATGCTTCTCCCCAATCCACCTGATGCAGACCATGCATTCAACACATATTCCTCAACCACCTTACATGGGCTTACAACTGTGGGTAAGCAGGGACTAGAGGGGAGTGGGAAGGCGCCATCCCCTCTACCCCACCATGCTTCAGCTGTGAGAAGGCAGTGAGTCCCACAGTGCACCTGTATGGCCTCCAGGCAGGTGCACCTGGGGCACCACCTTTTTCTGTGCGTCACTCAGGGCTCTTCCTGGACACCCCTTCTGCACGCTGGGAGCCTCCCTCTAGGATAGGGGCATTGGGTAACTAGGTGCTTTCTGTCTCCACAGCCCAACCCTATAAAATATTCCTTTTCTGGCTCAATGGACAGAGTTTCTATGCTCGTAATGAGCTAGCTAGGAGGGACCTGGCTCTACCTTGGGCAAAGTCCTCTCTGGGATCCACGATTTTAAAAAAGTTGGGTGGGCTGCAAGGGGAACTCATTACCTACAAAAAGGCATCACAAAAGTTGGAAGCCGGCGCATAGCACGCAGGTCACTGCTAGCACACGCTGGGTGCATCCAGCGTCAGGGAGGCACTGTAGACTATAGTTCCCAGCATGCCACGCACTCAAGCGCCGGGACCCGGGGCGAAGAACCGCGCGGAGCATGCTGGGAATTGAAGTCCGACACACCACCCCGCCCCACCCCCGCCCAGGCCCGACCCAGTCCCGACCCAGTCCCGCACCTCTGGGAGTGGTGAGCCAGGCGAAGGTGCCACAGCGCGCGGCCCAGGCGCTGCTGCTGAAGCAGGAGCTGGCCCGGGGGCTCCCCGGCGCCGCCGTTTGCAGGCGTACTTAGGCCCATGTTCTCGAAGTAGTGCGCCAGGAAGGAGATCGGTTCCTCGGGCCGTGCCTCCAGCACCTTCAACAGGGCCGAGCGCAGCATTTTTGTCACGCCGACCTGCTGCAGGAAGTCCTCCTCGCTCTCGGTCGTGGCCGCTGCCCCGGACACCGTTGGCCGGCTGCTGTCTGTGAAATTGGCCGCCGGGGCCATGGTCAACCGCCGCTTCTCCACTGCCGCCATCTTCGCTGAGGGCAACGGGACCGGAAGTGCCGTCATACTCCACAGCGCGCCGGCGCCTCTTGGTGGCCATCTTGGTTAAGGGCAGAGGACGCCGGGTACCTCTGGGCGACTGGGAAATCAGTAATGCAGGCCGCCCTTTCCGTTAGGTTCTAGTTGGCATTCCCCCTCCAGTTCCCTCTTTACGCGTACTGGTTGCCTTTCCTGGCTTAGGCCCCGAGCTTTGCCAGACTGAAAAACGGCTCCCAAGGAAGGGCCTGGTTTCTGACCTGAAGCCGGACTGCTTGCCAACTGGGTAGTGGGCGCGTCCTTCCTTGCATGGTTCCCTAGCAACCAGTCTCCTCGGTTGCGGGAGCCCCTGGCCGTGCTTGAGAGGGGATGGACCCACCCGGATTCAAGGATTGAGCGCCGCCCTGTCTCATTTCTCTGACTTTTGCGCTCAGCCTGGACTTCAGCCCAACCCAGTCTTGGTCTGAGTTTATAGTTCACCGCGTGGGGACCCGGCCCCAGCCACCCCCAGGCTGCGGTCTGCTCGGGGCTTCCACGGCCCCTAGACCCCTTGCGTGTTTGGGGAGTGAGTAGACCACCCACAGCCCCCAGTTCCCCATCCCAGGCCGTGACCTTCCTCACACTGTACCCTCTAGGGCTCTCAACACCCCCATCGTTCCCCAGGGCCCACAGGCTCGTCCCCGGCACCTGCTGATCTTAGTTCTATCTAGCCTCTCTCTCGGCTGTCTCCTCCGTAGCTCCCTTAATAAGCCATCTCTTCTGTGTCTTTTTCCACACTGCCCCCCGCCCCCATACATTCTCCATTTCTTTTGATGACTCCTAGTTATTCTAGAGTTCCGGGTTCCCTGTATCCAGGGAAAGGCACAGTATTTGTATTCTCCCTCCCCAGGCAAAGTGCACACTCCTCCTGCCCCAGGCTAGTGGGGCTGGGGTGTCTGTCTATCCTGTTTCTTGGGGGAGTTGCCCGGGGCAGAGAAGTCCAGGGTCCTCCTACCACAACAGAAGCCACTGAGGTCAGACAACAGGCTCTTTATTCTCCAGTTGGAGGGAGGGGCAGGTCCCCAGGGGTCCCACCAGGGGAAACCCGGCCTAGCTGTTCTGGCTCTCAGAGTAAAGGACGCCCCATCAGCCCTCATGCTGCCCAGAACCCTGCAATCGTCCTCTGGTCACAACGGGGTTGAAGGAAAGGTAGGCCACTTCAGAGGTGCTGGTGGGCCTTGCGGTCCCCTGGCGGGCTGGCAGCATTTCCACAGGCGGTAGGTGAGGACCGTCAGTAGGAGCAGCCCCAGCACCAGGCTGCCCATCCACAGGGCTTCGGACATTGGTGGGGAGCCTGGAGGGAGAAGCATCGGGAGCCTGAACACCTCTTTGCAGGTTGTGGGGATAAGCCCAGCAGAACCTGCCAAAGGGCTTCCAACTTTACCAAGTTCCCTAGAATTTAACAAAGGACTTAATGACTTAGAATAGCCATTTTTAACCTTTTTCATCCCATGGCACACATAAACAGATTATTAGAATTCTATGGCACACCAAAACATATTTTTTGCCGATATGACAAAAAAATAGGTATAGCCCTAGCTGGTTTGGCTCAGTGGATAGAGTGTCAGCCTGGGGACTGAAGGGTCCCGGGTTCTATTCCAGTCAGGGGCACATGCCTGAGTTACGGGCTTGATCCCCATTGGGGGGCGTGCAGGAGGCAGCCGATCAATGATTCTCATCACTGGTGTTTCTATCTCTCTCCCTCTCTCTTCCTCTCTGAATTCAATAAAAAATATTTTAAAAATAGGTATAATTTTTATTCATTCACACGGGATGGCTATTGCTGTTGTCATTTTTTATTTTTTAAAATTTTTTTTACATATTTTTATTGATTTCAGAGAGGAAGGGAGAGGGAGAGGGAGACAGAAACATCAATGATGAGAGAGAATCATTGATCAGCTGCCTTCTGCATGCCTCACACTGGGGATCGAGCCCACAACCCAGGCATGTGCCCTTGACAGGAATCAAACCCGGGACACTTCAGTCCACAGGTTGACGCTTTATCCACTGAGCCAAACCGGCTAGAGCTGTTGTCATTTTTTAATGGACAATGTAAGGGAAAAGAGTTCGGTGCCCCTGACTAAAGAGGTATTGCATGTTTAAAAAATTCTTGTGCACGCTGGTTGAAAACCACTGGCTTAGAATGTCTTTGGAAATGTATAAAAACCACTGGAATATCCAAAGGACTTTGGAGTGAATCTTTTGAAAGGTATGTAGGACCTTAGAGTTAGAAGTGGGCTGTCCAGGGAGGTGGCCACTCACATGTCTATACTTGAAATGTGGCTTGTCTGGGTAGAGAAGTGCTTGCTGTCAATGTATCATACACATTGTAAGAACATAAAATATCCCACTCATACCTTTTTACAGATTACACGTTGAAGTGATGATATTTGAGTTATTGGGTTCAATAAAATATATTATCTAGCCCGGCCAGTGTGCTCAGTGGTTGAGTGTCAGCCTATGCACCAAGAGTTTGCTGGTTTGATTCCTGGTCAGGGCACATGCCTGGGTTTTGGGCTCGATCCCCCTTGGGGGGTGTGCAGGAGGCAGCCAATTGACGTTGATGTTTCTCTATCATTGATGTTTCTATTTTTCCCTTTCCATTCCTCTCTAAAATAAATAAAAACACTAAAAAATGTTTTTTAAAAATACATTATCTAACTCATTTTTACTTTTTTTTCTGAATGTGGCTACTAGAAAATTTGAAGTGACCCAAGTGGCAGTATTCTATTTTTACTCCACAGGCTGTTGTAGTCTATAAAGTTCAGTTTACAGACTGCTGTGAAATCTATGTAGTTCCTGAAATGTAGTCATGGCCATGCCAGGCAACTGTAATCTTATGTGTCAAGGAAACCCACTGGACAGTTGGGGAAGCTGAGACTGGGCAGGGCACCTCCTTGTCTAAGGCCTGTGTGCAAGGCTTCCTCCCTCCTAGGCTCCCCCAGTGCCCGCCCCACCCCGCCAAACTCACAGATCTCTGGGAGTAGGTACAGACTGGCTGTGTGGCCCCCTGGGTCCAGGCGACACTGGAACCAGCCCTCGGGGTTGCATCCAGCCCACAGCACGCTCAGCCAAGCCTGGGCCCCGTCCTCCCTCCTCTTGTAAGCTGCCAGATCGCCGGGTGCCCGGGTCCAATGCACAGCTGTGCCAGGGCCACAGGCTGCTTCACACAGCAGCTCCAGACCCCCTGGTGTTGGCGACTGGTGGATCTCAGGGTGGCAGGGCCTGGTGGAGCTGTTCCCAGGCGTGGGGCTGTTCCCAGGACCCCTGGGGCTGGGGGTGGAGTTCTGCTCCAGGATGGCCTCTAGGGAGGTTGTGACCCGGGTCTCCTGGGAGGTCAGGCTGTGCAGGACTGGAAAAGAGGGCAGCCGTTTTTCTTCCTGTCACCCCAGTTGCTTTCTTGCCTCAGTCTCTCCATCTGGACTATGGGGTTGGAGGAGAACTGCTCAACCGCCCACCTTGGGCCACTTGGTGAATTGCAATGTATGCGAGTGGGTAGGAGTGGGATTGGTCTGTTGTGGTCCTCCCCACCCTAGGGGAACTTCTGAATCTCCTGGTCTCACTTTCTTCAACTGTAAAGGAGACGAGAGCCCACCACCTAGGCCCTCACATGTGCCCGGAGCGTAGGGTCAGCGAGCACGAGCATTGGATTTTATTATTATGGGACTGGGTGGTGGAGAGAGGGAGGATGCATCTGACACAAACTGAACACCTACTGTGTGCCAGGGCCCATGTTAAATGTTATTCTTCATCATTCAGCACCTGCTTACTGTATACCTGCTATGTGCTAGGCACTCTAACAGTTATTCATTCATTCAGAGTGTATCTATTCAACACCTATGTTCTAGACCAGCCGTGGGCAAACTACGGCCCGCGGGCCAGATCTGGCCCGTTTGAAATGAATAAAACTAAAAAAAAAAAAAGACCGTACCCTTTTATGTAATGATGTTTACTTTGAATTTATATTAGTTCGCACAAACACTCCATCCATGCTTTTGTTCCGGCCCTCCGGTCCAGTTTAAGAACCCATTGTGGCCCTCGAGTCAAAAAGTTTGCCCACCCCTGTTCTAGACACTGTTTTAGCCAGTGAGAACACAACCATGAATAATACACACATTCCTATCTTGGTGAAGCCAAGAGCAGGGGAGATAGATAATGGGGAAAAAATTAAAAGAACATATGGGAGGTCAGATGTTAATAAAAATGTGTCAAGAAACATTCGACAAGAGGAAGGGTGTGTGTGTGTGTGTGTAAACATGTCCATGTGTGAGGGGAAGGGGAAAGTCAGGAGAAGCCTCACTGGGGAGGTGACCCGAGAGAGGTGAGTGAGGAGAAATCTGGGGGAAGAGCATTCCCAGTGGAGGGCACAGCATATGCAAAGGCTCTGCGGCTGGACCGTGTCTGTTGGAGGAATAGTGAGGACGTCTGTGTGGCTGGAGCAGAGTGAGGGGGAGAAAGGGAGGAAGTGAGGGCAGGAGATGATGGTATAGGTTGTGCAGGGCCTTGGGGGCCCCAGGGAGGACTTGGGCTTTTATTTGGAGGGAGATGGGAGCCCTGAAGGGCTGTGAGCAGAACAGGTCGGACTCAGGTGCTCACAGGTGCCCTCTGGTGGCTGCTACCAAGAAGACAAACTGTGGGGATGAGGATGGGAGCTAGGGACCAAGGGGAAGGGCAGAGCTGGTACCAGGGTACATGGAGGGTAGGTGCTCAGTAAATTTGTTGAATGGATGAATAAACAAATGATTTAGAAGTACCTCTCTGGCTGCCTCAAGGGACAGACTCAAGATGGAATGCAATTTTCCCACGGGCCTAGGGACTCTGACCTAGAGTAGGTCCCCTAGATGGGGACCCAGCAGGTGAGGGGCAGAATCAGAATTACAGAAGAGTTGCTGTACACCACTCATCAAGGCTCCTAGGCACTGGGTAGTGTGATTTCACCCACTTCCTGGGGGACACTAAGGTGCAGGGCAGTCAGGATCCTGCAGACTCACCTGGAATGGGCTTTCGGTGGCTCAGCTCCAAGCCTGGCAGCCTCATGGTCGCCTGGCAGTGGAGGGTGAGTGGAGGTGTTCCCAGGGGGGGAAGCAGCCAGCGCTTTGTCACTTGGAACAACGGGTCCTCGCCCTCCTGGGGCTCCTCGTCCTCCAGGCCCAGCTCCTGCACCCCCTCCAGTTCCTGGTCCCCCAGGAGCAGGGACAAGGAGAGGACATCAGGGCTGGCAGGCGTGATGTTGTGGGCTGTGCAGGCCAACTCTTGGTCCCGCCCGGCCACCAGGTCCACTGGGGAGACAGTCAGCTGGTTCGGGAAGGCTGTGTAGGGAGGTTTGGAGGGGCACGGGCTGAGCCTAGAGCAGTGGTTCCCAACTTTTTTTTTGGCCACGGCCCACCTAAGCATCTCTAAAATCCTGATGTCCCCCCTCCTGTTACATATAATTCTTATGCAAAAAGTGAACTCTATTCTTGTGGAGGAAGCCTAAAAGGCCATTAACTTGGTCTAAACAAGCTTCCAAAGAACATGGTATCCATGAAAGAGAAAAGTAAAAGAATGAAAGGACAGTTGAAGTACTGAGGAAGAAATCTCTAAGAAATTATTAAAAAATAATATGAAGTGATATGAAAAAATAGCAAATAAAGTTTCAAAACATA